ACATACACCAAAAATATATAAAATATTGCAATCTATTCATTGAATGTATGAACTGCATTTTTTGAATAAAAAAAGTTTTCAAAGTTATTGACCTCCTACTAAATTAATGAAGTGTATGTGTGTGTGTGTTGTAGGAGTGTATGAGTGGACATGGCAAATACAGTTGTTTAATCCCACATGTGTATGAATGTACCTGAGCAGCAGGCGCAGGTGTCCCGGCAGTCGGAGTGCAGTCAGACATAATCTCTTTAGTTTCTTCAGTGAACCCAGTCCTTTAGACATGTCCTGAAGTGCTCCCTGCTGGCCAGGCTGTGTGCGCTGTAAATCCAAGTTACAGTAATGCAGTCTCAGAGAGTGCAGCTGAGGAAAGGGTGCTAACAGTGGAAGCAGCATAGCCAGGCCTGACACCCCAAGGCTGGAGTAGCGGATGTCCACACCGAGAAGATTTTGCTGAGGCAAGAGACCCAACAAGGAAGCTATGGAGGGCGCTGAGAGTTCCTCCACGCGGAGGTAGTGGCAGTGGAGCTGCAGTGGACCTGGTTGACTAAGGGCATCACGGACACGCTCCCAGGAACGGGAATTGACAAAAAGGTCAGCCCTGACATGGACCACAACTACCTCGTCCCAGTCTTGGTCGCATAACCTACTGCTATTACTGCTGGTGTTTGATTTCCCCTCAGATATAGTCTTTCTTCTCTGGATCTCCATCCTCCTCCTGACACCCTTTACTGACTCATCTTCTGGTAACATCCGTTCATTAGTTTTGCACTCCATCTTCTCTACTTCTTCCACTCCGTGTCCTCCCTGACTCCCTTCACCACTATTCCCGCACCCTACCTTGCCCCGGTCTCGTTTGATGGTGCCCCGGTCGCGTTCTGCTTCCAGTCCTCTTTTTCTCTCTCTTTCTCCATCTCTCCTGTGAGCCCTGGAGGCAGCAGCTCGAGCTTGTAGCACCATTGAGCACAGGGCAACACTGAGGGACCATCCACCCATCGAGTCCTCAACTCTCCCATTTTCACATTGAAGTCCACTGAGATCCAGCATCTGCAGGCAACACCTGGTAAGAGAGGGACATAGAGAGCTTGTAAGTAATGCTTAAATAGATATGAAAGACTCGATATGAACCAAAACAAAAAGACAGAATGATACAGAAAAAACAAAATGACTGAAATATATTGTATACACTCAAATTCAAATTTTGTGCAGAATCTTTTATTCTTTATAATGTTCAATAAACGCTGCCTGCACATGCTTAGAAGCTTCTGTCACCTCTCTACTGTAACCTTGGCCCATTCCTTGCTTGAAAAAGCTGCCAGATCACTGATAGTCTTTGGTTTTCACGTAGCTACTGCTTTCTTCAAATTCTACCATATATTTTCAATGAGATTTAAATCTGAAGACTAAACTGAAGAACATTCTACGACTTATCCCTGAACCACGCTTAAGTAGATTTGGATGTATATTTTGGGACGGTTGTCCTGCAGGAAA